ATCAGCTTTGCTTCTAAAATAGTTGGTATCCTTGTCAGCAAAGATCGGATGCTTGCTATCAAAATGGCATTTTAGTTTGTTCAGCTTCATAGATTCAGCTGATAGAACTTCACAACAAATAACACATTGCGGTTTCTCAATTTCTGCAGTAATTATTGAGGTAAAACCATACTGTAAAAAATCCTCACTATATTTTCTTTTCTTAACGTTCTTCTCTACACGAGCCATTGTCATGGGATGGTTTGCTAATGAAAATAATATATAACAATAGCTTTAATAATACAAAAGATGATACATGGCATAGTTCAGTCAATACAGTTCATTAAAGTTTCCTATGATTTACCATTCTGTGTTGTTTTTTTACATACCTGTTACTATCACAAGGGGGCAGTATTCACATCAACCACAGCTGAATATAAAAAGATCAATCAGCATCCAGATTAAGTTCCCATGGTACAGATATTTTCTTTTTTTGCAGTAGTTGATGACTTTACAGTACATGATTTTACATTTACCCAGTAATTATAATTCATGAAGTGCTGTTTTACCTCTAATACTGCTGCTTTCAACACAGTAGCTGCTTTTAACAGAGTAGCTGCTTTCAACACAGCAGCTGCTTTCTACACAGTAGCTGCTCTCTACACATGTGTGACTGGTCCGCATAAGTACATTATGGTGCCAACCCTGTCACATACACCTGTATTTGTACGGGGTGTATGTGATGGGGTTGGCGCGATGATGTCATCAAGCCTGGTACTCATGTGAGCATATCTGCATGTGGGCGGACCCGCCTGGAGACGGATAGAGGAGCGGTGCCTCGGTTCCTAAGACCATCGAAAATAGGCGACCCCTGTGAAAGGGTCGTTCGACCCCCAAAGGGAATGCGACCCACAGGTTGAGAACCGCTGAGCTTGGGGAAGGAAGGCTTACTTTTGCAAGAATTTCGTGCATAGGGCCTTTAGTATATATATAATCAATCTGCATCTATGAGATTTTGTGTTTTTCTGCTTAATCCCATCACCTTTTACATCCTGCTCCCCTCTCCACTCTGAAAGCTGAGTCTGTTCCATGTATCCATACCTCTGTTTTTATTTTGTTCGTCAGTTTATTTATTTTTTTGTTGTGTTGACTGTTGCCATTTTTAAAAATATATTTTTTATTATTGATTGTATTACAGATATCTCCCATTTCCCGCACCCTCTTCCCTCTCCTCCTCCCAGCCCCTCCCCACCCCAGGTTGGGGCACTCCCCTCTGTCACACTCAGGGCAGGGCCGATGGGGAGGTTGCGGCTCCACCCGGTCACACACAGAGCAGGGCCGATCAGGGGGTTGGTGCGCTGCACCCTGTCACACACAGAGCCGCAG